GAAGGGCATTCTGTGTGTGGTTAGGTGATTATCAGTTTGGATTCATCAGTTTGGTCATCAGTTGAAATCCACATGTCCTTCTGGTTCTTTATGTCGGATATTCATTTTATCCGCTCGAAACAAACCAACAGCGAACCGCACAAACTCCGGAGTCTAGCGGAGAGTCTTCGGAGGTTACAGTACCCCAGGTAATGCACGTAAATTTAAGGATGTACTGGTTTTCCTAAAACGAGAGAGACCGGATTGATCATCCACTAAGTGATGCCATTAGCAGCTATGCAGAAATGTGTACGGGTTACGTTGTTCGACCGGTTGCCTAGGGGTTCCGCGGTAGCCTTACTATCATGAATTGATTGCCTCAAGAAACTCATCAAAATATTACAACATCCGCGGTAGCCTTACTATCATGAGTTGATTGCCTCAAGAAACTCATCAAAAATATTACAACACTTCATCGATTTATCTGGTGCGAAAACCGCTAAATGTGTCGTAGCGATTAGTAAGTGAACGAGCGTAATCCCATCAACATCTGTTCCTCAACGAATTGCCAACCGAAACTCAAGGATTGCGCTGGTCGTTCTCCAAATCCCGTGTTCAGGTTTCCACAAATCAATGGAATTTCTAGCTTTATTAACGTAGTATTGAATCAGCGAGATTAAACGCAGTTAGTCAAGTTAGCGGCCATCTCCACAAAATTAGTAAAGTGAAACCAGTCCGATGATTTGACTATGTTTTATCCACTCGTGTCAGGGAAAACGTAAGACTGCATGCGAAGCCGCATTTGTATTCGCGTGAAAAACGTAAGAATATGAGTACCATGCGAAAGTGATTAGCAGACTCTTGGCTTGAATCCCACTTTTCCCTCTCGTTGGTCAAACATAACTATAAACTGTTCCATGAAGGCCATTCCCAGTGTCATGTGATCGGTTGTTATTTCTGGATCTGGAACGATTGAGCTGAAACAGCGCATTTGTCCTTCCACCAAATCCTAATGAGAGAAATCAAAGTGTTCATTAACTTTGTGTATGGTTTTGTACCTGGTATCAACATAACCTAACAGGTGTGATTGAAGTTCAAAACAGGGCTGATACATTACCAACGAGCCCGGTCATCCAGTTCAATAAATCTGTGGTGAGTGTGCGTGATCAGTTGTTAGCAAACTGAGAGGCCACTGGCAGGTTCAGAGGGAAATAAGGTGCGTTGACCAACAACACATCAGACTATTCCTATTCAGATTGGTCGTGAATGGGCCACAAAACCTTGAGTTTGATCCGTCTGGTTGCTTCGTAATCACAATGTCCGTTAATCCCTCGAAGGTTTCCACTTACTTTTCGAATGTACATTCTTGGGTGAAGATCCAACCGTACATCATCAAAAGACATAAGGAGAGTTGGCATCTGATCCACCCGGTTACAGTCGACGACGTGCAAGTGTTGCCATCTTTGCGCTCCTAATGCGGTGTTGATTTCTTCTGCACGTTCCACACTGAGCTTGTTTAACCAGACAGTGGAGTCCAACTTTGCAACAAAAGGTCTCCTGAAAACCTCCTGTGTTGCCGTTCTGAGACTAGTAGAGAAAGAGCAGTTTGTGATAAATAAATCAGCACAAAGTTTCGTTGTATTAGTTGGGCCATTACGCATTGGTACATTACTTACCTTTGTATTCGAACTTTCCAACCTCCACGAGCGTCATCCAATTGCACCATCTGGAACTCTGCTGGGTTGACGGTTCCATGTGACCCAAATACAAGGCAAGCGTCAGGTTGTAGATCGTTCCGATGATCAGCACTCAAAATCAATGTAAATCAGTGAATTTATCGCAAAACGAATATTAGAAATGGATAACTGGCAACAAGTCTTTATCATCACACCTGTTCCAAGAGTTGGGTAACATACCATACGCAAAATAAAGTAAACCTATCGTAATCTATCATCCCATTTGCTGACATAACATCGAGAACGTTGAAGTCATGTACCCTCCTCCCTAGACTTGGAAACGCCAGACCCAGATGGCCATCACCAAAAACGGGCATCTTTGTTCGTTCACTGTAGACACCAAGCAAAGAAAATGTTAGTCGACCAACTGGATATCCATCAAGCTATTCGAAAATAAACTCATTAAAGTACAGTGAGGCAAACCTGAAAGTTATCTCTTACACCTACTGCCGCCATATCTCTCGAGGTAAAAATACGCACAGACGTTTCGTCTGTTGATGATTCTCGCCGATTGAATTTTCTTTTCGTAATCCAATCAGGATGGTGTGCCTTTGAGGATAAGACCACAGTGACATCCAGAGTTGTATCGAACACAAAAGTGCAAAAGGTTTTGTGGTCGTTTTAAGTGATGTGCATGCGACCAGTCTACTCGTGAAACTTTAGGAAGAGAACGACAAAGAAACGTATCCCCTCTCCCAAAGAGAGGTCAGCATAGACAATATCTCATTTCTCGCGAAATCGCCCCTTGTTATGGTAGTAGAGATTCGGTCTTTTATAGTATTGTTACGGCAAACTAACCCTCGCGTTGAGCTTACCCGATGCATGAATCGTCAGAGCCAACAAAGCCACTGAAACCAATGTTGCCTCTCTCATTGGACCGGCTTGTAACTCTCATTGGTGTATAACCACACGCTTTTGGGTTTTATGTTCAAGGGCACTCCGGGTAAGAACCAATCTCGTGGACGTTTGGACACCAATCAGAATTGAGCAATGATTTACTTCGTGTTTACTTGACTGTGTCTTATCCAATCGGCTCTATGCATTGTTGCTGTTATTTGATTGGGCGGAAGTTCCCACTGTCAATGAGCCTGAACCGCATTCTATCCCACTTAGGGATATCGCGTGTAGACTTGCATGTCGTGTAAAATTCGTCGTTCATTGCACACGTACAACCAATAAGATAACTCAATCTCATTCAGGTCGGAAATGACTGCATCCTTCTGCACCTGAAAGTTCCAAATCTATGCTACTGTCTACTACAGCCAGCAATTATAACGCCATAATCTCTGCGTCCAGCGTGTTACTCGACAGGTGCTGTGTACAGTCATGTAGCTTGCTTTCATCAGCCTACCTAATGCCACTATGTACCAAATCAAAATAAGTACTGACTTACTCCATCTACGAATCTACTACCATCGCATCTCTGAGAATCTGTAACTGAAAATGGCACAAGATTAAAAACTGGTAATAAAAATGGATGGATGAAAACGGTAGTTAAGCACTTAATTATAAACGTGTGAATCACTTTCAGGCGGATATCTTTGGCTACACGGACTCAGCCGACAACCCGGCACGGATATTTCGGGCACACTTTGTCTGCATCGATGTGCAATAAAGACACTCGGAAACCCAGTAGGAACAAAAACGATGTGTGCAACTGAATAAAGTGCACACCACATTGGTGTGTGGAAATTCCTACGCATTCCTCCATATAAGTGCCATCTTTTGGGCTGGGGGTTGGCTCTTCCACGTGTGACGTGAGAAATCCGAAAACCCGAGAAGCCACACTAAAGCTTAGCTAGGTACTGACACAAGAGCCAGGAGACACGCAAGCCCATAATGTGAAATTCTCTCATGCCAAATAGAGATTAGTGATAATTTCTTTACCGGTTTATTAAAGCACCGTTCATCACGACCTTGCTCGCAGCTTCATCGCTCCCTATCTCGCTTTCTGCTATTTAGTCCTACCTATTCTTTTCACACTGTTGGATGACAATAAAGTTAAGTGCATAATTTTGTGGTATAGATGTCAGACTTTGACCATCCCATTTCATAGGTACAACGTCGCATAATTGCGGAATTGGACAAAGGATGAGGTGGTGGGAGATTGGGCGAGCATAGCTTGGAACCATCTAATTTTTGGGACGTTTCATGTGTTCCTTGTCACAAATATTCGCACGTCTAACTGCCTGCATATTATTCTGAGGCCCGGTTTTTCTTGCGTGTTGGTTTATATTGCACTCAAGTAATAAGTATTATTGGGGAACATAACTCTTTCAGAAGCTGTGATAACACGCCGTAAAGCACTTTGCAATTGGTTCCATCTTTCCGCCAATCATCACCAGTGTGCACAAAAATCCGAACCCTCTGGATCTCGGCTAGTATCTGGAGCTCCTTTTTTCCATTGAGACGGCTAGGTATCCACTTTTGTGACGCACCCCCAGGACAGGCTGTAGATTGGTCTTATTTCCCGGTTATGATTACACAGGTTCATCTAAAAAAATGTAGCACGTGCCACATACGGGAATCAGTTTACTTCGGCAGATTACTCCGCGTCTGAGGGTGACGTGAACCAATATTATACTCTGGAGTAGGTCTTTAGAGAGACCGTCTGTTGTATGGCTTGTGTCCGGAGGCCAGCTGTCCCTAATAACCGAATATCACATCATTTGGACAGATGTGTCACGTGCAGGACACGGATCCAGCGAAGGCATGCCTTGATTGGTCGGAATGCCAGCCAATCCGAGTCGAGCATCTTTGGCTCACCGCTTCTCGTCCCCCACGGAGATTCTGGCACGACCTAGTGGAACACTCTGTGACTACGCTATAAATACAGTTGTACCAATTTTCCTTTGTCTCCATAAAAAGCTGTGTAGAGTTACCGTGCCTTTTGATATGCCATAGAAGGTGGAGCAGGAATCCAAGGGACCGACACAGGGCTGCACGGTCGTCCACCAGGACACAACAACTGGCGGCAACCCGAACCCATGATGTCAATGTCGGCAGATCAACCTCAATCAGTTTTACAGCAACAACAGAAGCAGTCCGAAGAAGCTCAAATGAGGCTTGTTGAACCTCTGGTGCGCAGTATGTCGCTGAACACGGCAAACATGGTTGAGCCTACGTCTTCTTCCATAGATGCTGATGCCAGCATGATTGCAATGCTTCATCCGGACGAAATCTCGAAAGTTGGTTCAAGAAATATGAAGACATGTTTCAAACCTAATCTGGTCAGTTTGATGATGGATGGAAATTTCGAATGTTTCTGCGGAAACTGGGGCCAGCCGAACATGATGGGTCCACAAATTTCATACTCTCCAAACTCCCTCGTGACCTGGGCTTCGCGGATGCTGTCAAAATTCCAGCCCAAATATTCGGTGGGCAAAGTTCCTTGGTCAGCATTCGTTATCAGGGTCTCAAGATTACGAAAAGGGATACTGAGAATTGCATGACAAAGCGCAGTACGTTCGAAATCGGTTTCGTTTTTCCCTCGTGCAACTTTGTGAAAGAAATTTTATCGTTGTTCAATCTATTCACAGAGTGCACACGAGTCACTGTTGAATTTTATTACTCTAACAAAACATTTGGGAGATAACCCCTGTTATTCTTCGCACACATCCTACTTTGCATCTAGTCTTAAACATGACAGCAATTTATACCGATTGCTCTCTGAAGCCATTGGTGGACCAAAACAAATGTGGGCAAAATGGCTGCCCGTCGAACTTCAAACGCGGTATGCAATGCCACACCTGCAAAGCCTGGTGACACTTCAAATGCATAGGTTTGCAGGACGACCAGAATAGCCGATTAGCTAACTCTCCTGACCCGTTAGTCTGCTCCAGCGGCCTCTACATTAAGGGTGCAGTGCATATCGCAGACAAGAAGAGAGCCCCCAAAAACGGTACTCAAGCCCAAATGCAGAATCGGAAAGACAAATGTGAGTGCTTCGCTTTGATCGAGACACTCGGCGCGAAATTGGAGCTCCTTTCTAACACACCGGAGGATTCAGACATAGGGAATGCAAGGACTTAGACGAAAGTTGATACAGAACATTCTTCGCTGAACGAGTACCTCGGGCTATTTATACCGGGTACCTTGGCTGCAAAGAAAGTCAGACAACTCTCCGAAGCAGCTATAAAGACCGCCACAGGCGCTTAAGGGAGAACAGATTGACAATCTGGGGGTCATTCTCCGGAAAAATCACGCCATCAAAGCTGGTACAATCAATCCTTAGAACAAAAGAACGTGGAACAGGCTGGCAGCATTCAAAAGGCCAACTCAATGATCAGGCGCCTATCTGAGGATCGTCATCTAGACGCGCAAAAGCTTGGTCACAGAGGCATGAATTAGGCCTCCTCTGGGCGCCAATTCAGCCGACCCCAAACTCATGGCCAAGCTGACAATTGTCAAGGCCCATTGTGTTATCGAAAGCAGGTCGACGAAACCAGTCACGTCTCCTGACTGCAGTTTTTATCCTACCACCACAGGCTTCCAGCACACCAAGGACGGTGATTCCCTGGAGGAGGCAAATCTCACACCCAAGCAGCGTCCAAATTACGGAAAGCTATCAGCGCTCATCCCCGTAACAGATGACACAGGTACAGCCATTTACTCCTTACCAAAGCCGCAGCCTCTGAACTGGACTGAGTCGTATGTGCGGGGACAAGCAGCAAAGCGAATCTCCGGCTCTATTCCGTCAAAAGTGGCCTCTCTGCTTGTGTAGACAGCCGAAGCTATAAACGTCTCTCGTACCTTCAGTTGGCCACGCTGACCGCCGGCACACAAGCACGAAAAAAAGCGACCGCATCAAAACAATCCACATAGAATTCGCTAGGTTGAAAAACTACTGGCTTGCTTCAAGGTGCAGCCAACGCGAAAACGAGCCTCTTGAGATTGCCACCAAAAGCATTGCTTCTAGGTGCCCCCACCTAGGGCTCAGGGTCTCACAGGGACAATTTTCCGGTCCAACCGCGCCAAAACACCCAAGAATCCAGGAAAGGCGAAAGTTTGCCACAAATCTTTGATCAACAGCAAATCTGGTCACCAGAAAGGCGGTGCTGAAAGTGCTACAAACAGCAACGGTCGAAATTTCTGCCCACGGGGTAAAAAAACTTCGACCCCCAAGGCTGAAAGGACCGGGAAAATCGGGCCCTCACGGAGCGAAAAAAACCTTGCAAGCGAAAAGTATCCCCACGAACCACGAAGACAGGAAGCAGATGTCATTGCCCGAGAAACCCTACGGAGCCTTGAACAGAACTATTAAGTCTACTAACCTCTCTGGTCACTCAAATTTCGGCTCTCCACCCTCGGAGGCATCAGAGACAGTGTTGAAATGCTTGTCCACAAACTGACTCAGCCTTTTCAACAAACTCGGCGATGTTAG